TCTTAAGGTTCACTGATTAGCAAACTTAATTCCATCCCAACCTTAATCCTCCCTTACCATGTAACCTAACATATTCACAGATTCTGGAGATTTGGAAGTTGACATCTTGGGGGAGGGCATTATTCTGCCTACTACTCCCCAGTGATGTATGTGGTATGGTATGGTATGGTATGATAGGGTAGGGTAGGGTATGGTAGGGTATGGTAGGGTAGGGTATGGTAGGGTAGGGTAGGATATGATAGGGAAGGGTAGGATATGATAGGGTAGGGTAGGATATGATAGGGAAGGGTAGGATATGATAGGGTAGGGTAGGATATGATAGGGTAGGGTATGGTAGGGTAGGGTAGGGTATGGTCGGGTATGATATGGTAGGGTATGGTAGGGTAAGGTAGGGTATGGTAGGGTACGGTAGGGTAGGGTAGGGTAGGATAGGGAAGGGAGGTTAGTAGATGTGGACACCTGGAGGAAAATGGCAGAATTGCCAAAGTGATTAGTGTGACTGGTGGTGTGGTATGGTAGGGTAGGGTAGGGTATAGTATGGTAGGGTAGGGTAGGGTAGGGTAGGGTCGGGTAGGGTAGGGTAGGGTATGGTATGGTAGGGTAGAGTATGGTATGGTAGGGTAGGGTAGGGTATGGTAGGGTAGGGTAGGGTAGGGTAGGGTAGGATATGGTATGGTAGGGTAGGGTAGGTTATGGTAGGGTAGGGTATGGTATGTTATGGTAATGTGTTTAGTGGACACCTGTTGTTTATCTTTTCCCAGAATGTTTTCACCCATGTTTTGTTGCATTATCTGCACTTCTCTCTACAAGCTTAGATAGAAATATTACTTGCTTCATGTGTGTCAATTTTGTTTTCTCCATTACACTGTAATTCTTGTGAGATCAGAGTTTTTTGCCACAGTTCTTGGGACATCCTCCTGTGCTTCTGACAGTACCAGGTTTATTATAAGAGCTTCAAAACTATTTTCTTTTTAAATATATATATTTGTATTGATTTCAGAGGGAAAGGGAGAGGGAGAGATAGATAGAAACATCAATGATGAGAATCATTGATTGGCTACCTCCTGCACGCCCCCTACTAGGGATACAGCTTGCAACCTGGGCATGTGCCCCGACTGGAATCAAACAGTGACCTCCTGGTTCATAGGTGGATGCTCAACCACTGAGTCACACCAGCTGGGCTTCGAAAATATTTTCTGATTGCCCAGGCCGGTGTGGCTCAGTTGGTTGAGCATCATCCTGTGCACCAGGGTCTGGCCGGTTCCATTCCTGGTCCGGGCACGTGCCCAGGTTGCTGGCTCAATACCTGGTGTGGTGAGTGTGGGAGGAGGCTGACCTATGTTGGGAATGGATGTTTCTCTCTCCCTCTCATTTTCCTTCTCTTTAAAAATCAATAAAACATATTTTTAAAAGAATTTTTTGATTTATATGTTCTACTTACATGTCATAAAATAAAAATATAAATAAAACAAAAGTTATGCTTACACATCTTTAATTTTAGCATTTTTCTTGACTCTATTCATAAAATCTATATTTTCCAAGTCTTAAACTTGCACAAAATCTGATATTTTGTAAGATGGAGGTCTTAAAAATAAACAGTTGATCACATGTTTTGCCAGAGTGTCAGGAGCACAAGAATAGAGTAACAATTAGCAGAGATTGGGCTACATACAACTGACATTTTACTCTCCCCAAATTAGATCAATAGATTTTTAGAAAGGGACAGTCATGCCTAATTTAAATTTGTAAAAAATAAACTTTTAAAGGGAATGCATTGCAGGAAGCCACGCATTGTCTTCACTATCAGAGAAGTGCAAACAAGGATCCCGGAACGCAGGTGAACCTTGAACCCATGGCAAGCGCTAGAGTTATGTACAGATTGTCTAGTCCAGACAATGGGGGCTCAAGCTATTTCCTGATCAAATAGTCTCAGACGAAATCCTTCTAATATTTACTGACCTTTAAGATAGTCTGTCTGTTACCGCAATTACCTGCCTAAGAGCTAGATGTGTATCCAAAGTTGAATAAAAGGTTGGCGAGGCCTGGGCACCAGGGGAAGTCCTTTCTCTTGCATTGGGCTTGCCCGTCTGGCCCCCAATATTTTCAAATTATTATTTCTTGTCTCGTCTCTTTCATTTGCATACGGCCCCTCCTCCAGATCCCGAACCTTGAACCACGGGGGACTTGAGGGAACATTCACAATGCATAAAAAAATACAGAGAAATAAAAAAAATTTAACTTTTAGATATATTTCTTTTCATCTTTTGGGGGCATTTTTATATAGTTAAGATTTACATATGTGTGTGTGTGTACATGTGGCCTGTGTGTGTTTAGTTGTGTATGTGTGCATACAGCTTCGCATAGAGCACAGTTCCCTCCGTGGATCATAATTTGATGGTAGCCAAGGGCTACAGAAATATTCCCTGACAAATGAAACTGATGCACTGACCAGAGGGAGGCACCACAGTGTCTTATCTTTCATCACACTTCCATAGAAAATAAATAATTTTTTTCATTCAGAGACTGTATTCCTAAGCTAATTAGTACTTTAATCAGATCCAATAACCTTGAGTCCAAGGCTATTTTTTTTTTTTTGGCATAGATTCTGAGTGCTCCAGGCAGGCACAGTTCTAGGGGCTTTACATGTGTTAACTAATGCAGTTCTCCCACAATTATATGAAGGTTGTTTGTGGGAGACAGGATTTTAAAAGATGTTCCTCCCCCAAGATTCCTCTTCCTGGTCATTCAATCAGAGACAACCTAGGCACTGCTCTGAAGGGACTTTGCAGATGGAATTAAGATTATGGCCCTGATCGGTTTGGCTCAGTGGATAGAACGTTCGCCTGGGGACTGAAGGGTCCCGGGTTCGATTCCAGTCAAGGGCATGTTCCTTGGTTGCGGGCACATCCCCAGTGGGGGGTGTGCAGGAGGCAGCTAATTGATGTTTCTCTCTCATCAATGTTTCTAACTTGCTATCCCTCTCCCTCTCTGTAAAAAAATCAATAAAATATATTTAGAAAAAAAACTATAGTGGACTTTAAGACAGGGAGGTTATCCTGGATTACCCGGGTAAACCCAATGTCATCATTTGAGGCCTTAAAAACAATGTGGTGCCCTAGCTGGCTTGGCTCAGTGCATAGAGCATCAGATTGTGGACTGAAGGGTCCTGGGTTCAATTCCAGTCAAGGGCACATGCCTGGGTTGCGGGCACATCCCCAGTGGGGGGCGTGCAGGAGGCAGCTGATCGGTGTTTCTCTCCCATGGATGTTTCTAACTCTCTATCTCCCTTCCTCTCTGTAAAAACTCGATAAAATGTATTTTAAAAAAAGACTTATTAATATTAAGAAAACAATACTCCCCAATTTAATGTAATCACAATCAAAGAAAGGTGATGCAGAATGGAGGTCAGAGGGATTCCATGTGTGCAGAGGACTTTGAAGTATGGTAGCAATCATCTCAGGTAGAAACTATAGTTTAACTCTAACCCTGCTGTTTGGCTTCTGTACTTATTTGCTTTGTTTAACAATAGAAAAGTTACTTTGATTTTCTGAATTGTATAAATCATCCCATTCGATCGAATGCCTTATTTATTGTAACGTGACTATCCCATTGATTGTGATCTTACTGGTTATCGAAGCACATTCTTCTGTACCTGGGAAACAGTACAGCACAATTATCCTAAATTGCCTTGATGGCTCTAGACTATGTTCCTGTCAACTCAGTCGTCTCAAGACCTGATGGCTCCAGATAATGTGTTTCCGTTGATTCAGTGATCCGGAGACCGAAAACTATAATTAACATGCTTAAGTCTGCTTCTATGAACTGCTTTGTGCAAACCAGGGTCCTCAGTCCAAACCCTGGGATGTAATCAATACCACACACAGTCCAAAGCCAGCAAGGAAATGGCAGCTGCGTAAAACTGCGCTCGGCCCAAACCTGAAAGGGTTTCTCCCCCGGAGCCTCTGGGGGAGCCCAGGCAGCCCTGCCACTTGACCAGGGCAGTTGTAGATCAGAGGAGACTAAGGAGACACCGTAACCAAATGCACCCGGTGGCCCTTCATTACGTTGCTGGGTACCGTGAGGAACAGTTTTCCAGAATATTCTTGAGACAACTGAGGAAACTTGCATTTGGCCCGTGTGGTAGATAATAGTATTTTATCAGTTTTAAATTTCCTGAGTGTGATGATTGTGATTTTTCGGGAGAATGCCCTTGTTCTTGGGAGATACAGGCTCAAGAACTTAGGGAGAATGTGTCATCGTTACTATGTATGAAACTAGGGCTAAAGCAAATGTGTAAAAAATGTTAAGTGGGTGAATCTAGTTGGAGCATATACGTACGTGTATTGAACTATTTGCAACTTTTCTGGGAAAAAAATCAAGTTTTTCAAAATAAAAAGTTGGCGGGAAAAAAAATTCCTTTGGGTATAGAGTGGATTTGCGATGAGTAGGAGGGAAGCGGGAAGCCCAGACGGGGCGCTATTGCTGGGGTCAGGATGGCAGCGGGGATAAAGCACCCCCCCCGCCCCCCCTCCCCAGCGAGCCCTGGGAAGGAAACCCGAGTGACGAAAGCTGATTGTTATTAACTATAGTTCCCACAACTCCTCCCTCGTAAAACGAACTTCTGTGGGGAAGGGGGTGCGGCTTCCTAGCCGCTTTCCAATTTGGTCGGGATCAACCACTCGCCCAAGCCACTAGCTTGCACCTTTGCGCCTGCGCAGAGGGAGCTGTGCCCCCCCCCATAGGAAGAGTCCACACCTACAGGGTTAGTAGGGGGAGACGGCACCCTAACGTTCTAGGTTCTCCCATAGCAGGGTATAGCCTACATACTGAGAACAATATTCCTAGAGTAGCTAATTTTTTCTGAGTATATTCCTTAAAACTAGTTTTTACTTGATCATATGGGTGAGTTACACAAAAATGTTTGTTTGCTGCTCCCCCACGCCGATGCGTGCGCCAGGCCACCCGGGCCGGGAAGAGGAAGCGGAAGTGGTGGTAGCTCGGGGAGCAGAGCCCTGGACGCTTGCCATGGAGGGGTCTAACGAGCCGGCCCTGGATGCTAAGGCCAAGGTAAGCCCTGGGCTAGAGGCAGCCGGAGAGGCGGTCCTCTGGTGCGTGAAAGGCCCTTCCCTGAATTGCTTTTTCTGCTTCCGTTTCAGGTCACCAACCAGGTGAGTGAGTGGCAGCCCCGCCCGGTCCTCGCTGGCCTCCGCGGGTAAGGGGCGGGCCGCAGCTGGCCCGCCTTCGGCCTTGGGAAGCCGGGCCGATGCGCCGTGAACCTTCCCCAGCTTCCCCCGCAGTCCAAGGCCTGTGTCCGCAAGCCGGTCACTTCGTCCCCACCCTGCGTTGCCCCGCATTACCCCTTCCTCTTTGCACCTGAGATGGTAGCCACTGCCTGCCGCCATCGCCTTTAACCTCCCCACCCAGCCCAGCCGAAAGAGTTCAGACCAAGCATTCTTCTTGACTAGGTCCCATTTATTCGAAACCAGTTACATAGTACTTTTTAATGTTTTTATTGCCTTGTAGAGAGAGGAAGGGAGAGAGAGAGGAACATCAATAAGATTGAAACATCCAGCTGGGAGCTCTCCATCGGCTGCCTCCCGCACGCCCTCTACTGGGGATTGAGCCGCAACCCCTGCATGTGCCGTGACCAGTAATCCAACCAGCAGCGTCTTGGTGCATGGGTCCATGCTCCACCACTGAGCACGCGGGGCTAGGTACACAATATTTCAGGATGCTGATTGAGGGAATAAATTACTAAAATTTACAAAGATAGAACCGCACACATTTTCTTAGTCTTAAAAACTAGTTATTTTAAGAATGGAGAGTATACCTCTTCAATCTTCCAATGTGTGTACAGGGTGTCCCCCAAAAATGTAAACACAGTTTAAGAGCTGATAGCTCCAATTTTTGTTGTTGTTGTTGTTTTGTTAATCCTCATCCGGGGATATTTTTCCATTGATTCCATTGGAAGGGAGGGGGAGAGACACACAGAGAGAAACATTGATGTGAAAGAGATACATGGATTGGTTGCCCCCCCCCAACCAATACTTAATAAACACTGCCTTTATAATTGTTCAAAGTGTGTGTATGCATTTTTTGGGGACACCTTATATATTTATACTCAAATAAGAATTTGAATTCTTAGCTATATCTTAATCCTGCTTCTTTACAAGTGTTCTTGTTCTATTTTAGCTAATACACTGTTTTTAGACAAATAACTTATAACACACTTCCCAGAAGAAGAGTAGTAAAACGATATTGTTTTAGGGCAGGAGTCACCCAGGTCCATACAAAATACTATAAGAGATGAAATGAGAAAGAATGAGAATACAAGGGGCTGAGAGATGACCATTGACTGCTTTGTGTCATTTGTCTCCATTGATCTTGCTGTTGGTTGTTTTTGAGGATTCCTGGGTGGTAGAGAGGACTCAGAGAGACAGTAATCCACACTCTTGTCTGGCTTTGCTCAGAGTTACTGGGTTAGTGCACTTGGATTCAGTCTTTCATAAGTCATTTTATCCATTCACTTACAGTAAATCACCTTGATTTGAGTAAGATATCTTGAAACGGAATCATACTAGATTATAAGGTTTTAAAAATTGAACCTTTTTATTGGGAGGGGAGTACTGTTTTTTAAAACAACACAAATTTATTATCAACGTTCTGGAGGTCAGGAATCTAAAATTAGTGTCGTAGGACTAACAAGGTTTTGGCAGGGCTGTGGAACCTCTGGAGACTCTTGGGGAGAATGTGTTTTCTTGCCTTTCCAGCTGGAGGCTGCTCACAGTCCTTGGCTTGTGAGTTCGGCCTCCATCTTTAAAGCACATCATACTAACGTCTGCTTCTGTTGTCGCTTCTCTTTCTGCTGCTATCACCATTATGTTACCTTCTCTGACTCTGACTCTCCTGCCTCCCTGTTAAAAGGACTTTGTGATTACACTGGGCCCACATGGATAATCCAGGAAACACTTCACCTCAGGATTCTTAATGTAGTCATATCTACAAAGTCTGAGATTCACACTCCTGTCTGTCTGACTTTAGAATCTGTGCTTATTAAATTTAACAAACCGTGGTGCTATACTGCCAGCACTAGAGGTCTAAGAGTATCTGTTACTTCACATTCTGATATTTAGAATCATTTTTGAAGTAATTCATGGCTCTTACATAGATGTCTAATTAGAGCTCTTCGTAGATGAATGATTGTTCCTATTGCTGCCACATTTTATTTTCTTGCCAGTTTTATGGTATAAATGAAAAGAAATATGTTGTATTGACACAATACCTAGTGCCATTTTCCCTCTTCCGA